CACTGGGTGACCTGTCACGCCCCAAACTCGCTCCTAAAAGTTCAGGCATGACCTATGCAGATACGGATACATAACCTGATATACATAATATATGGGGCCTGAACGGAAGCATTTAATATTACAAAGTAACATAGAATAACATCCATTGAGCTAAAACTAACATGCCAGGATCACATACGTGAGAGCCATTTATCTATATACATACCCATACATATAAATGAGCGTATATCTGAACATTGGTAAAGAAATGGGGTATATACATACATTTTAACCTTAAGTAAATAATTAAAGTGCAAGCCAAAATCTTAACAAAACTTCACATAAATGCATGGGCTTGGTCTAGGAGTCTGGGCATACTGAGGTTGGCAATTGGAGGGTGAGCATCAAGGGTTAAGACGGACTCCCAAAGTAATTACCTACAGAACAGACATAACACAAAGTGAGCGAAGCTCAGTGAATAATAGTACATAAATGATTCAATGCTCAACTTGAAGTATAATACATATCAATGCATACATAAATAAAGGGGGCATAAGGTTAATTGATTCTGCACTAATTTCATAACGGCCTTAGGCCCAGTCTTGAAACATAATGACTTAAAACATAATATCTTGAAACATAATGGCTTTAAGCCCTTGAACAGAGTGGCAATAGGCCCTTGAACATATTGGCATTAAGCCCTTAAATGTGTTTGCATTGAGCCCTTGAACATGTTGGCATTAAGCCCTTGAACTTGTGTGTATGAACTCAAGAGGTGGCTCGCACGGATTCTAGAGGTGACTCGCATTGCAGCACTTAGTTCCATACAGCACTTTGTTTCATACTAACAGATCTTACAGATCATACAAAATGGCCATAGGCCTCATCACTTTCACAGAACAGCTTTCAGCCTCATAACTTTCACATATGTATGGACTCAAGAAGTGGCTCGTACGGATTCTAGAGGTAACTCGCACTGCAGCACTTAGTTCCATACAGCACGTTGCCTCATACCAAAAATACAGAATAGCCTATGGCCTAATAAATCACATAGAATGGCCATAGGCCCAGATTGGCTTTAAGCCTAGTTCATATATGTATGGATTCAAGAGGTGTCTCACACGGACTCTAGAGGTGGCTCACAATGTAGCACTTAGTTCGAAGTAGCACTTTGTTCCATACCAGTAATTAATGGGTCTTACAGACCAAACCATACATATCATGTCATGCCATAAACGGAAACAAATTCATACATATGCATTATACTTGAATCATAAACAGAAATCAGAATTCATACTTGATTATACTTGGCACTTCGCTAGCGCTAACAAATCAATATAAAGCATTCTTGTTAGTTCCATAAAGGAATCCCCCGATACTGAGAACTTATAACATACGTGAACTTGTAACATACTTAAACTTGTACATACTTGAACTTGTAACATATGTAAACTTGTAACATCTGTGAACCACGGTATTATTACCCCCGGGTGAGGGCCGTGTGCTACGGATGTCATGAATACTTTACATATATGGACAACTGTTCATTAAGTCAAAACGTAACATATCAGAACATAGAGCATTTCTTGTTATATCATGTCATTACAGTACACTTAACAAAGACAGAACAGTTTACATCATAACGTGAGTCACATGACAAGGTCATTGATATTTAATTCTGTCTTCAGGTTGATTCATCTGTAAATCAATCCGTTGTTTATCATAATGCTTAGCAGGTATTAACGTATAAAACAATTCGTGGTCTTAACTAATTATTCATTAAGAAATAGCGTAGTTCACTTGATCTATTAATAGCATATAGAAGCATACACCTTTGTTTGATCGTTCATATATGTTACCATAGTTGACTTGTACTTAACAGAGTACTAATGGTAGCCGTTACATCATTCACATGAGTTAACATAGTTAACTTAAGTTTAACAGGACATTCCTGATAATTATTAATAAGAGATAAGCACATTTACAGATTGAATGATTTCAGAGATACGTGAATACCATGGTTCCATAGTGCTTATACGTTCCCTTTGTTCATCATGAATCACTATAGCTATCTTGCAAATAACAGAATGTTAGTCTTCTTTATCAACAGTAATACCGCTCAATAATGCCTCTAGATTTTCCAATCGACACATTGTTAACTTAATTACTTGCAAGGAACAGCATATTAATGATAAAAATCATTAACAATAATTGAACGTACGACTACCGTACTACTACTCACAGTGATCAACTCCCGGTAATAATAGGACAATGTCCTCGTCTCGGCCTACAAGTACAGTGCACAACACATAATATGAGATTATACTCGATCCTTTACTTATTCTCTTTGATCGTTCAATCAATTAGCCATGGTGGTAACAAACTCATTATTCCTTAATAAGTTATAATCCATGTCTCAGAAAACAGGAGAAATCGATGGAAAATGGTTTAGGTGAAGAAATGGTACAAAACTAGTTGACAGAAAGTAAATAGTCGTCACTAATTTGGGCATAACTATTTCTATATTTATAATTTGGGAGTGAGACCACCACCATTGGAAACTAGACTTTTGGGGCTTGATTTTAGGCTCAAGAATCACTCAAAACGGAGTCCGGATGCAAAAGATATGCTTATTCAAAGTTGGCTGGACAGAGCTGTCTCCGCACGTGCGGGGAAACAGTGCCACACGTGCGGCCCTGGATAGTTTGCAGTCCGAAAATGGCTGAAAATTTGAGACTTCTCATTTTCAAAATCAAACCTTAATTACATGTAAATCAAAGCCCAAAACCCTTTAATACATGACCAATTTCACATTATTATTCTCCATCAAACATCATAACCTCAAAATAAACAAATATAATGACTTTAATTCTTCAATCAAGAAATTCTCAGGAAATCAAGGTTCAATCAAATATATACATAGAACTCTAACTCAAATGGGTTCAAAACTTCCCTTATTATCATGATTTCATGAAATTGATGCCTCAAACATAAGGATTCAAGATGATTTATCTTACCTTAGTTCACTCTTTGACTTCCTCATGGTTTTCTTTAATTTCTCCAAGCTTCCATGGTTACTCTCCTTCTTCTCTCCAATTTCTTCAAGTCATCTTCAAGCTCTCAACAATGGTGAACTCTCTCTCTCACTCTCTCTTGGCCTCTCTTTCTCACGGGTCTTCCTATCTTCTTAGATATTTTGAGCTCCAAAAGATGAGTCCTACTCATATATATCATATACACCCATATAATTAACTATATAAGTTTTATCACAAATAAGGAGGGCCAAACACACCGTTACGAATCTCGAAAAATTAAATTTCAATTAAATTTTTCAGATGACTCTAAAAATTATGATGATCATAAATATGTCCCCTGTTCTGGTTTCTGAAGCCTCTAAGGCCTTCAATTTGCAGTACCAAGTTAACCACCCAAACGCACATTAACGAATCAGACAAATTAGATTTCCAATTAAGTTTCCCAAATAGTTCTAAAAATTTCCATTAACACATCCAAGTCCTCAATTGTGATATCTGAACCCGTAAAGGTCGGTAATTTCAATTTTACAGCCGTGGCTCAACAGATAATTCCTCAATTTGAACACATATCAATAAATTAAAATGCATTAACCCATAAGGCCGTAAAGGTAATCTCTAATACGGATTTTGGGGTCGTTACATCCTCCCCACCTTAAAAAGTTTGGTCCTCCAAACTTGATTCACCCTGCCACAAGTCCAGTTTCGTCTTGGGTATACAACACTTCTCAATTATTTAACAATTCACAATCCTATATAGTCAATTTCAATGGAGTTTGCTCCAAGAGTCACAAGTAATTCATCTTTACTAGCTAATTGGTAACCCAATTAATAAAAATACTCAATATCATCAAAACATCATCTCATTATTCATGAATCTTGTACATTTCAATTTATTGCTCACAGAAATGAATTCATTCGAGTATTCGATTGCATGCGACTCATAAGCTATCAAACATAATTCAAATTCTTTAGGTTCACAACAACCCCCATTATCATAATTCCTCAAAGGTTAAGGAAGCGTTCATTACTCAATCGGGTTCCCGATGGTACAAACATACTACAACAATTAGGCCTGGAATAAATAAATGAGTTCTACATTAACGACTTTATAACCCTTGCTCACTGATAAATTAAATATTCAAAACCATGGTTTTAGTACTTTGAAGTATCCTCAAGCGCTTTACTTCCATAACAGATAGGATAAGTGAGGTCTAAATTTTGAATATTCAAAGTCAGGCTCAAATCCTCAACTTCAATGAAGGCTCAAATAATCAGAATTAACTTATCACTTCAAATCAGATTCCTAACCATAACCATAAGGTGGAACATCTTCTTGTGACAGCACAAATTAATTTGGCCTTTTTTTAATCGTTTCAATATCCCACTATTCAGATGGTTCTTTCTTTTCCTACTATCAGACACGAGATCAACCACATGGTTTCGCATTCACAACTTATAATTACCATGGGTCAGCAATAGCCAATAATCACGTCCATCCAGATTCCATAATGTCTAGGAATTCAATAATATAGCAACAAAATGATTTGACCATTAATATCAGAGTTCGGATTCTTAGGAAGGTCAGTTCAATATGACAGTAAGTCAATTCGTAATCATATCATGAGTGGGGTACATATCGGTACCATCAATATAGAATATCTCCATGTCCTTTCTTTTGAACAAAGTTTACCTCATCATACAGAACCAGTGTTTTTAAAGGCAAAAGCGCAAGGCGAGGCGTTTTACCCTTGTTGAGGCGAGGCGTAAGCCTCGAGGCGTTGAGGCGTAAGCCTTTTGAATTTTGATTTTTTTAATTTTTATAAAATGCAAAATTAATTAAATATAGCATAAAAAGAGTAAAAAAAAATAAGAATTGCCAAATAAAATTTTTAAAGGCCATTCTAAGCATATAACCAAAATTAATTAATTATTTCAAGTATTATAAGTGCTTTCTAAGTCATTCTAATTAATACTATAATAAAAAAATAACTTAAGTCATGGTCAAAAACTTAAATTCCAATTGTTCAATAAACAAAATAACTTAAAACTCTAATACTCTATGAACAAAGCAATAAATAAATAATAGGTCACTCTAAGTCATCCTCATTAATATTGTCATCATCTTCGTCCGCTATATCTATAATGGGATAAGTTCCATCATCTATTCCACCAACTTCTTCCGACTCCATGTCTTCATCCGCAAGGGTGCATCTTGCTGCCTTGCCTTTTCCTCTATCATTTCCTATACAAGAAATAGGATTTCAAATTAATTAAATAGGCACATATAATAATATATATGCAACTAGTCCAGAATTGTTTAACAACTTACTTGAACCTTCACCAACTTTTCTTTTCTTCGCATTCGAAGATGAGTCAACATTAATCGTAGTCATAGTTGATCGATTCTCCACACTTCTATCATATGCAGTGATAGGCACAGTCCTAATTGCTTCAGCATCAAACAATTCTTCTTCATCAAGCCAAGAAGCATCAAGGGAGAGGACAGGATCTTCTTTTTCAGCAATCCATTCATCATCCGAATCAATTTCATCAATTAGTATTGGATCGATGTTTTGTCTTCTTCTGATACTCCTCTCTCTTAGTTTAGTGTTGTACTTCACATAGACCAAAGCATTCAAACGTTTGTGCTCAAGCCTATTCCTCTTTTTTGTATGAATCTAATATAATAATATAAGAAACGAAATAAGAAACATGAATATTTTATTTTATGCATAAGAAAGTTTAGGAAAGAAAGATATGTTACCGACTCAAAGGTGCTCCAATTCCTCTCACATCCCGAAGCACTACAAGTTAGACTAAGTATTCGAATAGCAAATTTTGTTAACTCTGGTGTTTTGCTCCCAAAACGAATCCACCAATCAGCTACATAATTTGAAAAATGCACAAATAATTTCAATCTCGTATTTTAATTTTATAGAATATAATTGGAAAATTATTTTCATATTAGTTTCTTACCGGGAGAGCGTATCGCTCTGGAATCAATTGCAACACGACTTCCGAATTCCCCTTTTGCTTGATCATAATAGTCCAATTGGATATCAGCCTTGAGACGCTCATCATAACTCAACATTCTATCCATGCACTGATACAATCCTTGCCTCATCTCCTCAACATTGGAGAATGAATCTCGATAGCGCAACTGAGGGTTTAGATAATAACCAGCAGCATGTAAAGGTCTATGAAGTTGTGGTCCACCTTGCATCTATCTTATTCCAAATTGGTCCGTACTTCCTAACATTTCCTCCACAATTGAAAGCAATCTTTTCTTTAGCCAAATCCATCAACTCATAAATGTAACCCATAGCAGGCCTTTCCTCCGAATCAACTTCTCGTAAAACACTAACCAAAGGTATTGTGCTTTTGATACAAAAAACAACATTCGGCCAAAATTTTGGATCAAACAACACAGTTGCACGAGCCTTTACCCCTTCAACATTTCTTGCCCAACTACTAGAAGCCCACTTTTCTGAAGAAAACATAGCTTGGAGTGGTTGCTTTTGTTTGTAAAGACTTTGGAGAGTAAGATAAGCAATGGCTAACCGTGTTACTGCTGGACGGAGTAGTTCACTGTTCTTTGTAAATGATCTCATCATTGAAAGAACCCAACAATGTCCATATATAAACTTGACCACTTGCCTAGATAACGAGAGAGTTTGGTCATAGACTTTCAATTTTCCAATGTCCTCCAACATTAAATCAATACAATGCGCAGCACATGGAGTCCAATACAACTTCTTCCTCTTCTCCATAAGTCTCGACCCGGCATTGACATAGTTTGAAGCATTATCAGTAATAACTTGAACAATATTATCTTCCCCAATTTCATCTACGACACTATCAAGATAGTTAAACATCAACTCCCCATTTTTTATAGTATCAGATGCATCAATTGATTTTAAAAACCAAGTTCCAGCAGGGCTATTCACAAGAAAATTAATAAGAACTCTACTTTTCCCATCTGTCCAGCCATCAGACATAATTGAGCATCCATATTGCTTCCATGCTTTCTTATGTTCCTCCATCATGACATTTATATCCTCTACTTCTACTTTAAGAATCCAAGTCCTCAATTCATGCATAGAAGGGGGTTTGAAACCAGGTCCATAATTTGCAATTCCATCAACTGCAGCTACCCAATACGGATCATTCACTAAATTAAATGGAAGGGCTTTACAATATATAAAACGCCCAATCTTTCGACACACATCTTTTCTTTCTTCTTGTTTCCATTTGGAGTTCAGTGTAGATTGTCGTGCTTGAGAACTAGCAAATTTATCCATTGGACCCCTCGGTTTTGGTGCTTGTGTCATACCACCAGTATCGCCTTCAATAGATTGAGAAGCACCACTCTCGCCCTTTGCTCCAGCACCCATCCCAATTTCATATAGCATCTCATTACGGGCAGTTTTTTGCTCAAAGAAATTTTTTAATGCGTGTTGGCATTCCAACTTTACATCTTCAGGAACTTTTGAACACGGTTTAATGCCTTTATGCATACTGGCTAGATGATTTTTAAATCGACTTACAGTACCACTACAAGTTTGATCACAAAATTTACATCTAAAATACTTTTCCCCATCAACTTCTTTTACATACTTCCAGACAAAATCTTTTCTTTGGCCTTTGGGTTCAGTCATTTTTTTTTCCCCACAAACTTATCAACTGTAGCACTATATAAAAATAAACAAAAAAAAAAAAATTTAAAAAAAAGATACTGGTTAGGTGGGATGGCAAAAAGAAAAAAATATATATTAATATTAATAATAATAAATTATAGTCTATCAAAAAATAATAATAATAATAATAATTTTAAATAAAAGAAGGAGAAACATTAAAATAATAATATTAAGCATGATATGGTAATCTACTACACTGTACATATATAATATATTATATAATAGCATGTTAGTCCACTACACTGTACGCTTGAAACAAAGATATAATATATTATCTAATAACATGTTGGTCCACTGCTGCACGCTTGAAACAAAGATATATATATTATATAATATATATCCATCACAGTCGAATAGAGATAGATAGACCACTATACTACACTGTGGCTATATTATATAACATATACACTGCACGAAACAAAGATACATATATTATATAATATATATACATCACAGTGACAGAATGAGAGAGACGATGTAGAAAGCAGATCGAGAGAGACGATGCAGAGACGATGCAGAGAACAGAACGAGAGACAAAGACACAGAGACAGAGTCGACTCAACTCGACAGAAAGAGAGAGAGAGACTGCGTACCTTGAAAACCCTAGTTCGTTGAAGAAGATTAGGCGACTGATTTGAAGTTGTTGGACTCTAATTTGAAGATCAACTTACATGGTATTTATAACTTATTCTTGAGCAATTTCTGTTTGAATCGAAGTCAATTTATAGCAATTTTCCATCAACTACTCTATCTCCCCTTTTTGAATTTTGAAATCGAACTCTTCAAAGGCTTCCGCCTCGCTATCAAAATCATGAAAAGTGCATGAAGCGCGACAAATGCTTACGCCTCTGATCTTGACGCGTACACATAGCTGGGGTCTCGCTCCAAACAGAACGCATCTGTGCGTTTTCCGTACGCCTCGCCTCAAGTCGCGCCTTAAGTCGCGCCTCGAATACACCTTTGAAAACCTTGTACAGAACAGTTCATATTATAGCTTCCAATACAAAATAGAGGACCAGAGTGGCAATTTGTAATATCGAACATTTGCATATTTACATAAAAATATTTCACAAAAATGGCTTCTCAATCTTAAGTCATTGATATACAGAAACAGGATTTTAACTGCCTCTTCTTTACAAGTCTCATGTAGGCGGATACATAATGTGGGTAAAGTTCTTCATGTCGTTCAATCATTCTTTCTACAAAATCCTGATTACGGATTACAAATTTCACATAACAAAATAGATTATATTGAATTAACCTTTTACACAATTCAAAGGGGGAGCACTGATACATAACCTTCTCTTACAGCCGGTTACACTTAATATAATTCAACTATCATGTAAAACACAACTTATCAAAATACCTAACACAATAGTTTTTCAAAATCATGGGTCCAAACATTACTACGGCACGGAAGACATAACTATATCATAAAAGTTAGAGTATCACATATATCATTTTCTTTGGTCTTAAACATATTCCATACTTAGTGTTTAAACAATTCAACTATCAGTCCAAAAAAAAACCACCGATAACATATATTTTACTTAATTATTTGCATAAAAAAAAGTTGCCTTACCAAGCATTTTCCCTTTTCATTCTGTCTAACCAGAAGGAGGTAGAATCCTCCTGATCCTCTATCCTTATTCTTGTCATCTTCTGCTCAACAATTAATTACAATATACACAAGAAATGTACAATAGACATGGATCATAATCGTTACCGTCAACAAATTACATTTAACGTTGCCATCATTTCCTTTCATATGCAATAAGGATGTCATGCATGATACCTAAGTCTTTTCTAGACATCCTAAAGCCCAATGGATTCGTGTGTGAGATAGCAACTCATGCTCTGATACCACTTGTCACGCCCCAAACTCGACCCTAAAAGTTCGGGCATGACCTATGCAGATACGGAGACATAACCTGAAATACATAATATATGGGGCCTAAACGGAAGCATTTAATATTACAAAGTAACATAGAATAACATCCATTGAGCTAAAACTAACATGCCAGGATCACATACGTGAGAGCCATTTATCTATATACATACCCATACATATAAATGAGCGTATATCCGAACAATGGTAAAGAAATGGAGTATATACATACATTTTAACCTTAAGTAAATAATTAAAGTGCAAGCCAAAATCTTAACAAAACTTCACATAAATGCATGGGCTTGGTCTGGGAGTTTGGGCATACTGAGGTTGACAATTGGAGGGTGAGCATCAAGGGTTAAAACGGACTCCCAAAGTAATTACCTACAGAACAGACATAACACAAAGTGAGCGAAGCTCAGTGAATTATAGTACATAAATGATTCAATGCTCAACTTGAAGTATAATACATATCAATGCATACATAAATAAAGGGGGCATAAGGTTAATTGATTCTGCACTAATTTCATAACGGCCTTAGGCCCAGTCTTGAAACATAATGACTTAAAACATAATATCTTGAAACATAATGGCTTTAAGCCCTTGAACAGAGTGGCAATAGGCCCTTGAACATATTGGCATTAAGCCCTTAAACGTGTTGGCATTGAGCCCTTGAACATGTTGGCATTAAGCCCTTGAACTTGTGTGTATGAATTCAAGAGGTAGCTCGCACGGATTCTAGAGGTGACTCGCATTGCAGCACTTAGTTCCATACAGCACTTTGTTTCATACTAACAGATCTTACAGATCATACAAAATGGCCATAGGCCTCATAACTTTCACAGAACAGCTTTTAGCCTCATAACTTTCACATATATATGGACTCAAGAAGTGGCTCGTACGGATTCTAGAGTTAACTCGCACTGCAGCACCTAGTTCCGTACAGCACGTTGCTCCATACCAAAAATACAAAATAGCCTATGGCCTAATAGATCATATAGAATGGCCATAGGCCCAGATTGGCTTTAAGCCTAGTTCATATATGTATGGATTCAAGAGGTGTCTCACATGGACTCTAGAGGTGGCTCACAATGTAGCACTTAGTTCGAAGTAGCACTTTGTTCCATACCAGTAATTAATGGGTCTTACAGACCAAACCATACATATCATGTCATACCATAAACGGAAACAAATTCATACATATGCATTATATTTGAATCATAAACAGAAATCAGAATTCATACTTGATTATACTTGGCACTTCGCTAGCGCTAACAAATCAATATAAAGCATTCTTGTTAGTTCCATAAAGGAATCCCCCGATACTGAGAACTTATAACATACGTGAACTTGTAACATACTTAAACTTGTACATACTTGAACTTGTAACATATGTAAACTTGTAACATCCGTGAACCACGGTATTATTACCCTCGGGTAAGGGCCATGTGCTACGGATGTCATGAATACTTTACATATATGGACAACTGTTCATTAAGTCAAAACGTAACATATCAGAACATAGAGCATTTCTTGTTATATCATGTCATTATAGTACACTTAACAAAGACAGAACAGTTTACATCATAACGTGAGTCACATGACAAGGTCATTGATATTTAATTCTGTCGTCAGGTTGAGTCATCCGTAAATCAATCCGTTGTTTATCATAATGCTTAGCAGGTAATAACGTATAAAACAATATGTGGTCTTAACTAATTATTCATTAAGAAATGGCGTAGTTCACTTGTTCTATTAATAGCATATAGAAGCATACACCTTTGTTTGATCGTTCATATATGTTACCATAGTTGACTTGTACTTAACAGAGTACTAATGGTAGCCGTTACATCATTCACATGAGTTAACATAGTTAACTTAAGTTTAACAGGACATTCCTGATAATTATTAATAAGAGATAAGCACATTTACAGATTGAATGATTTCAGAGATACGTGAATACCATGGTTCCATAGTGCTTATACGTTCCCTTTGTTCATCATGAATCACTATAGCTATCTTGCAAATAATAGAATGTTAGTCTTCTTTGTCAACAGTAATACCGCTCAATAATGCCTCTAGATTTTCCAATCGACACATTGTTAACTTAATTACTTGCAAGGAACAGCATATTAACGATAAAAATCATTAACGATAATTGAACGTACGACTACCGTACTACTACTCACAGTGATCAGCTCCCGGTAATAATAGGACGATGTCTTCGTCTCGGCCTACAAGTACAGTGCACAACACATAATATGAGATTATACTCGATCCTTTACTTATTCTCTTTGATCGTTCAATCAATTAGCCATGGTGGTACCAAGCTCATTATTCCTTAATAAGTTATAATCCATGTCTCAGAAAATAGGAGAAATCGATGGAAAATGGTTTAGGTGAAAAAATGGTACAAAACTAGTTGACAGAAAGTAAACAGTCGTCACTAATTTGGGCATAACTATTTCTGTATTTGTAATTTGGGAGTGAGACCACCACCATTGGAAACTAGACTTTTGGGGCTTGATTTTAGGCTCAAGAATCACTCAAAATGGAGTCCGGATACAAAATATATGCTTGTTCAAAGTTGGCTGGACAGAGCTGTCTCCGCACGTGCGGGGAAATAGTGCCGCACGTGCGGCCCTGGACAGTTTGCAGTCCGAAAATGGCTGAAAATTTGAGACTTCTCATTTTCAAAATCAAACCTTAATTACATGTAAATCAAAGCCCAAAACCCTTTAATACATGACCAATTTCACATTATTATTCTCCATCAAACATCATAACCTCAAAATAAACAAATATAATGACTTTAATTCTTCAATCAAGAAATTCTTAGGAAATCAAGGTTCAATCAAATATATACATAGAACCCTAACTCAAATGGGTTCAAAGCTTCCCTTATTATCATGATTTCATGAAATTGATGCCTTAAACATAAGAATTCAAGATGATTTATCTTACCTTAGTTCACTCTTTGACTTCCTCATGGTTTTCTTTAATTTCTCCAAGCTTCCATGGTTACTCTCCTTCTTCTCTCCAATTTCTTCAAGTCATCTTCAAGCTCTCAACAATGGTGAACTCTCTCTCTCACTCTCTCTTGGCCTCTCTTTCTCACGGGTCTTCCTATCTTCTTAGATATTTTGAGCTCCAAAAGATGAGTCCTACTCATATATATCATATACACCCATATAATTAACTATATAAGTTTTATCACAAATAAGGAGGGCCAAACACACCGTTACGAATCTCGAAAAATTAAATTTCAATTAAATTTTTCAGATGACTCTAAAAATTATGATGATCATAAATATGTCCCCTGTTCTGGTTTCTGAAGCCTCTAAGGCCTTCAATTTGCAGTACCAAGTTAACCACCCAAATGCACATTAACGAATCAGACAAATTAGATTTCCAATTAAGTTTCCCAAATAGTTCTAAAAATTTCCATTAACACATCCAAGTCCTCAATTGTGATATCTGAACCCGTAAAGGTCGGTAATTTCAATTTTACAGCCGTGGCTCAACAGATAATTCCTCAATTTGAACACATATCAATAAATTAAAATGCATTAACCCATAAGGCCGTAAAGGTAATCTCTAATACAGATTTTGGGGTCGTTACATGATCTACCAGGAACTTTGCTACTGCTCTCCCCTTAACAGACTTGCGAGTAACATACTTCAAATCAAATTCGAAGAGAAGAAGCAACCAACGGCCTGGCCTACCCGTAAGTGCTGGTTTCTCGAAAAGATATTTGATGGAA